CCCCAGCCAGGCACGGCCACAGCAGTGCATTCCTGAGGAGATGGGACCAGAAGCACTGTTTGGGGATTCTGGTGCATCTCCTCAAAGAGCAGGGCCCCCTCTCCCCTCCACTTCCTCCCTTCCTGACACCTGGAATGCAGATGTGGAGGCTGGAGCTCAAGTAGCCAGTTTTGACCAAGAGACAAGGCACCTGGTTTCCCAAGGCTGTGGGAGCGGCTGGGCCAGCTGAGGCGGGGAGAGAGAGAATTCAGCATGCTCAGCATGGCTGTCTGGGGTTTCTGAGGTGATGCACAGCCTGTTCTGGGCTGATCTAGAGCACCCTTTAACTCTGTTGAAACCACGACCCATGGTTCACATTCAGAATGCACCCCAGTCAGAGGAAGATGGGCCGGTTATGAGTTTCAGAATCACCGAGCTCTTGGGATGACAACTTCTGTAAAGCCCCTTTTCATTCACGGCTTCTTCTCTCCCGAGGAAGCTCTCCCCAAAACCACCCTGAAAGCCCCTTCTCTGGAGGGCGCTGGGGAACTCCTGCGCCCTTGTGAAAGCACCAAGTCCCGAGGAAACCCTGGAGCCCCTCGCTTCCCCTCCCCAGCCCCTGATTCAGTGACAGCATCACTGAGGCTCAAGAGTGGGGGAGGGGGCAGAACCCTGCTCCACTGGAGGGGGGCAGGGGCCAGGGAGGCCTGGCAGACTTTCTGGAAGAAGAAAAAACGGTCATCTCCCCAGTGGATCAGAGGTGGCACATTCAGATGGACACACACGAGGAAGTAGGGCCTGCTCCTGGCAGGAGGGGTTTGGAGATGGAGGGGCAAAACGTAGCATAATAGCAAAGCTGAAGAGACGGAGCACGGGACCACCCCCACAGAGGCGGGGCAGAGGGCTCAGCGGGCCGGGGGCAACTTGAGGGTCCTCAAGGGCAACAGCCGAAGTCGACGGAGGAAACACACCGTGATGTGAAAACCCCAAGTCCCGCACACTCGTGTTCACAGCGGTGTTACCCAAGGCTGCCCGAGGCGGGAAGCAACCCGCGTGTCCACGGATGGGCGATGGATAAGCAGACGTGGTCCAGCCACACAATGGCACAGGACTCAGCCACGCGGGGACTGAGTCACATCTGACACCTGCTCCAGCGTGGGCTGGCCTTGAGGACCTCATGCAGAGTGAAACAGGCCCGTCACAAAAGGATGCTCCTGGGAGAGTCCACTCGTCCGGAGCCGTCAGACCCACAGAGACAGAGGTAGGATGGCAGGGGAGGGCGGGGGAGGGCAGGGCAGCCGGGGCTTAGTGGGGGCAGAGTTTCTGTTTGGGGAGAGGAGCGTCCTGGAGATAAATGATGTGGGTAATGGTCACACAGCAACCTGAGGGCGCTGGTCACCGTGCTGTTCTCTTGAAAGTGGTTATAATGGTAGATCTTGTTAACTACAACTGCCGCAGTAAAAATCTCTGAGTCCTTAGTGATACTCAGGGAGCGACAGTGAGAAAGAGTCTGACATCTTAGCTACAGCAGGAGGTGACTTACTGCCCTTTGGCTGGGGGAGCAGGGAGGGCGCAGCTCCCTAACCCCCCGCCGCCAGGCCTGCTGGTGCCATCACAGATGGAGACACCACGTGATGGGAAAGTCACCACTCGGCAGACCCAGTGCGGAGGCCGCCCTGGGGTTGGGAGTGGGGGGTTCAGCTGCGGGAGGGACGGCCGGGGTGGGGGACGAGCCGCCAGGCGTGCCTTCATGACGGGGGTCCCAGTGCCAGAAATGCTAACTGAACCTGCCGGAGCTTCAGACCCACTTCCCAGACACGGGAAACCCGCAGTTAGATGACACGGGGAATACCCAGTCAAGCACATCTAGAATGTGTGACATTTCAGGGGACAGCGGGCCAGGTCACCTCAGAAAGTGAATGTCGGGGAGCGCTGCTTCCGAGTGGGGCCGCCAAGACGCCCGACATCACCAGGCACGCCTGCCGGCTGCGCTGTACCCGCTGTGAGCCACCGGGGCACCGCCGAGGGGCTGTCGGGCCCGAGGAGGGCGGGCAGGGGCGTGCGGAGGCTCTGGAGGGGAACACGGCACTGAGTCAGGGACCCGATTCTGCTCACAGACACGAGGCTCGTCTGGAAGTCTTGGCACTGGTGTGGGTGGTGGTCACTCGGGCCGTCAGGACTCCCCTCCTTTCCCTGTAAAACTTTCAGAGGCGGTGAGGGGAGTGGAGACCCGTGGCCCGGAGAAGCACGCTCTCCAGCAGGTGTCCGGACGGCGCCCCGAGGGGGCCGCCATCACCTGCCCCACTGTCTTCTCAGGTTTGAATCTGTGACTACACGACCCGCTTCAGACAGCGACTAACGTTCCCCTGCGATGAGGAGGTGACGTGATGCTGCAGACGGGATCAGGGGTGCCTGCCTGGTGGAAGGGGGGGCCCTGGGAGCTAGCGGCCTCTACTTGAGCAGCCCCCGGGCATGTTGAGAAAAGGGGCGCAGCGTCCCCCTTTATCCTGTCTGCAAGACACTCAGCCTTCAGGAAACGCACCAGGGCCCTGGCTCCCCGAAACCCCATTGCCCACACCTGCCTCGCTGGCTGGGAGTTGCGCCGGGAAGCAGGTGGGGTGGGCGCTGCTGCTGCCCGGCTCGCGGCCCCCCAGCTCCTAGGGGCTGGCTCCCTTCCCAGGCCCCCCTGAGGAACCCAAGGGAGGGCTCGGCTGCCCTCCTTGACCCCATGGCCATGGCCTGGGGGGCCGGCAGCCCGAGCCTGTCTGCTGGGGGCGGGGCAGCCGGGAACGCGTGGTACCTCTGGGGGCCGCAGAAGCGTCAGTCCCGGGAGGGCCCAGGCCGCCCCATGATGACAGCTATACCCCAGCATCTCCGAGGGCCCTAGCCTGTGACCCTGAAGCGGGCTCCACTCCTGCTGAGGCCCTAGGTCCTCAGACGCTGAGGAGGCCCCCCGGACCGCCGAGCCTCGGCTCCACTGTAGACCGCTCGCCTGAGCCTGCAGCCTTGGGTGGTGGGTAGCACCCTTGGCAGTGGCCTGTGGTTGACACCGTCGCCCCTGGGCAGGTGTTGGGGGGCTGAGGCGAGTCCCATGCCCAGATTCCCAGGTGCCCCACACCCGGCTCCCCAGATGCTCTGGGACCCCCCTGAGAGACCACTCCGAGTGGGGAGGTTGCTGAGAGGGAGGCAGCATCCAACTACAAGGCAACATCCCGAGGAAAAGTGCCAAGTGGGCGCCTGCCCTCCTGGGGCTCCCCAGCCCCGGGTGCGCTGAGCAGGGGTCTTGGTTCCACCTGCCGCCTTGCTGCTGGGCACAGGTGGCCCACAGAGGTTAAGAGGCCCAGCCCTGAGCTGGGCTGGAGAGCTGGGACCGCAGTGGGGGGTTCCCAGTGCCTCACCTCAGGGCCCAGAACCAGCCCAGGGTGACCAAGTGAGGTGGCGGGTCCTCCGCAACCCACCGTCTTCCGAGGACACTGGTGTGTGCGTTAGGCTGGGGTCCTGCAAGCCCTGCCTTCCCGAGTGGACCCTGGGTTCCTGGGGGATACCATGGACCCCTCAAGAGAAACCCACCCACGGATGCCCCCCGGCCTGGCTGGGATTGGCTCCAGGGGGTCCAGGGGCTCGGGGACAGTGCTCAGGCCCAGCACAGGGCACGCTGGCCTTTCCTGCAGGGTCCTCCCCAGGAGGGGCCGGGGAGGGGGCTTTGGTGAGACAGCTGGGTGCTGGGGCCAGGCACTGTCCTGGGCCCATGGGGGTGGTGCCGGGAGGCAGCCCGGCTCCCAGCACCCCATGAGCATCCCGGGGGGCAAGGCCTTCTGGTGACAGCCCTGCTCTGTGCCCAGCGGCCCAGGAGGGACCCTCAGGCCTGAGCCCAGGAGCTCCTGGGGGTCCCCGCCCTGGGCGTCCAGCCTTGCTGTCGGGGTTCAGTAGGTCCCTACAGCTCGCGCCAGCTGGCCCCACATCGGGCCCAGCCGCCTGGGAAGTCCTGAGTGGAAGCAGCTCTGGGTGTTGCCAGAAGCTTGAGCAGAAGCGGCCTGGATCTGTTTTCAGGAAAGTGACGAGGCTGTCCTCTCAGCACCAGTGAGAAGACGCCTCAGCTGGTCGGCCCACCCCCAGTTTTGCTCTGTTTGTGGTTTTGGGGAGTTCTAGAGATACTCCTGCTACTTCCTGAAAGCTCTCAGTCGCGCCTGCCAAGACAGCCTGGGGTGAGTCCTGGGCTCCCGCGGGAGCGTCGGGGTCAGGGGCTGAAAGCAGAAGGGGCTCCTCGGCATGAAGGTGCGGGCTCGGTCAAGGGTCTTCACAGCGTCCTTCTCCAAGAGAGACCCCGGGCACCAGGGGGCCTGGGTGGGGGGGAGCCTGGGAGTTCCAGGGCCGGCAGCGGGAAGCAGGTGCAGGGGCCTGGCTCCGTCTTGGGGAAGCTCCCTGCCTGGGGCCTGGGCCGTCAGAGGCCCCAGAGGACACGTGCTTGCCACTGGCTCTGGGGGCACTGGCGGGGTGAGAATAAAGCTGGGGGGGCTGGGGGCATGTGGGTGTGAGGAGGGACCCCAAGACAGGGGCCTTGCTGGCCGGGCGGCAGGCTGAAGGATGGGGCGTCCAGTGCCGGGCACAATGCAGGGTCCCGGGGCGTCTGCCAGGAACGGAGGGCCAGGGCTCTGACCGCTGAGGACCGGGTGCTTCTTGCCATCCCTGCCTGGGCGATGACAGGGTGATGTTTTAGGGGACACTCCAGGCAGCGTTGGGGGACAAAGATGCCTCCAGGCACCATGGAACAAGGCGGGGCTGTCCAACCTCACTAGCCGCCAGGGAGACGCAGGTGCGTTTTCAGAGCATGCTATGCAAGCCTTCCTAAAGGGGAGTGGTGATGATGGATGCCCGGGGCTGAAGAACCTGGGCCGCGTGAGAGCAGTGAGCTAGCCGAGCTCGGGGCCCAGGTCGGGAGGTCCCGCCCCAAAGTGTGAACTGCGGGCAGACAGAAATGAAGTCAGCGCGCTGACGTGAGGAGGCGGGGGTAGGAGGTGGAAATGACCCGAAAGTTCCAGCTGAGGCAAATCGGGCAAAGGCGCTGCCTGGCAGCCACGGGACAGGCCGTCAGCAGCCGCGACCAGGTCCCACGACGTGAGATGGGAACCGGGAGGCAAGGCCCGTGGGCGGGCTGGTCCTCAGCGCTGTGGCGGTGCCTGTTGAGAGAGCTCGAGTGAAACCTTTCATCATTGTTCTAAATGAAGGGAGGGATCCGTAGCACCCACGGGCCGTGGCGTGTCCGGGGACAGCTCTGCGGGCCAGGCCACTCCCGGTCATGTCTCTCCCTCCCGGGGGGTCCAGGGGCCCTTCCAGGACGTGCCGCCTCCAGCGTGGTACCCAGGGCCAGCAGGGACAGGGCCGGCGTCCACGGCTGCTGGAACCCAAGAGCAGGAGCCTCAGGCTGACCCAGACCACCCACCCCACGGCCTGTGGCTACTGTGGCCCCCACCCCGCCCAAGAGCACAGACCCGGGACCGCAAGCTCACCAGGCCCAGGCCCGCATTGCGGAAAGGGGGGCTTGTCTTCCTGAGGCCTCCTGCGGGGCCTGTCACTCCGCCTCCCCTGCAGCCGGGACCACCCCTGTGGGTCTCCCAAGGTGGACGGGACACTGGTGAGGGCAGGGAAGAGCAGGCAGCTGGGCCTGGCCGGGAGGGATGTGTCCCTCTAAGCACCCGACTCTGGGAGAACAAGGGGGTACCTAAGCCCCCTGATTCCCGCCTGCAAGAGCCCCAGCCATGGGTGGGGAGGGGCCAGGGCCCTCTGGGTGGGCAGGGTGCGGATGCTGGGGGGGGGGGGACAGCCCACCGCCCCCCTGGGCGGGCTGGGCGGTGTCCTGGCTGACACGCTGAGGTGGGGCGGACCCACGGCCCCCTCCCGGGTCGCTCAGCTCACGGGGTGGGGCAGACACAGAGGACAGAGGACATGAGAGGAAGCAGGAGGAGGCCAGGCCATGGGGTCCAGAGACCCCAGGAGAAGCCGGGGCGGAGACCTGAAGCCAAGTGGGCATCGGGGGGGAAGGGCCCGGACGAGCCCAGGGAGGGGCCAAGCTGTGCGGGGCAGACGGCCCGGAGGTGGGTGCAGAGGAGGAACCCACCGGGCCTGGGCAGGGCCGGACTGCACTGTGGGGGTAGCGCCGTCCCAGCCCCTGGCCGCCCTGGCCTGGGCCTTGTGCCGCGTTCCTGACCCCTGCCCCGCTCCTCCCAACGCGGCCCCCTACCCCCCACCAGTCCAGGCAGACACCCCAGACCCAGAGTCAGAGCTCTGTCTACACAGGAGGGCGGGGCGGGGGCGCCAGGCAGGGCCCAGGACGCCCCCGCAACCCCCGCCAGCCCGGCCAGCCTGCGCTCTCTGCACAGACCTCTGCCTGCAGGCCTCGCCCCTGCTGGGGGACGCACACCGACAGTTGGGCCACTTCCTCTGGCTTTTGCAGAAGTGACTTCTAGAGACAGCGGTCCCCCTCTGCTCCCAGCTGCTAAGGCAGGAGCTGGCGGGGCAGCCCCTGGGGAGGGACCACCCACCCAGGTTTCCCAAATCTCAGTCCTGACAGAGGGGTTGGCCCCTCGCCCAGGGCGAGGCTGGGGGTCTCCTCCTGGGCTCACATGGTTCAGGGGCGTCCCAAAGGCTCCCAGGTGGGTTGGCACCCCCCCACAACTGCAGCTCACGTGGGCCACCCTCACAGTGGAGACCAGCCTTCCCGGAGCCCCCTTTGTTGGGCTCAGCCCCCTTCGTTGACTGAGGGCGGTGGTGAGTGAGGGGATGGACGGGGAGACCTAGGGACCCCCCCAGACCCACACCCACCACTTGGTCAGGATATCAGTTTCAGAATGTTAACGGCGTATCTCGACTCTTTCTTGCATCTCCCCTTTGTCTGTATTTTCGAGGTCTTGCTTATAAACTCTTTCTAAACTGATGAACTTTCTGCCGGTTCAGGTAAACAGCTTGGTTTCCTGTTATTTCTGGCTAGCTTGTCTGCTGGCATCACAGACAACCCCACCCGGAGCGGGGCGGGGAAGGGGGTGCCTTCAGCCGCCGGCTCCCCGGGGGGGGGGGGGGGGCTGGGTTCCAGGCCGGCAGGGAAGACCCTCCCTCTGACCCACTCTGGCTGCTAGGACGGGGCCTGTGCTAGGGGCGTCTCTGGTTCAGGAAGGAGGCAGGGGTGGGGGCCAGGATGCCGTCCCGTCGGCCAGCATCCCGGAGCCTGCCTGCCCCTGCCCTGGGCTGGGGTCCCAGTCCCTTTCACGGGGGTGCGGTCCATGCACATTGAATCTCAGGTAGCTATTTCATCAGGAAAGCTCCTGGAAATGATTTCACCTGGTCGAAAGTTAAGCACATGGAAGACTTTTGAGGTGCGTTTCCAGGTTGCGCTACAAAGCCTCTGTGCCCATTTATGTCCCCGTCCCCAGCATGGAGGAGCTCACTTCTGCACTTGCTCGCCAACACTAAGAGTTGAAGTTCTTTATCTGCGCCAATCTCATGGGCAAGAAAAAGATTGGTGTTTGGTTGTTTTACATTCACCTTTTTTTGACTATATCTGTGGAGCTGAGTGTTTTTCCAGCTGAGATGTTTTCACTCCTGTGAATGATCAGCTTTGACACTTACTTTTGTTGGTTTGTGGGAGTTCTTTCTATATTTAGACTTTGCTGTCGTATCCCACAGGATAAATACAAGACTGTGTGTTTTGTTGCTCAGTCGTGTCCGACTCATCGCAACCCCATGGACTTTGCCCAGGCTCCTCTGTCCACGGGATTCTCTAGGCAAGAATACTGGAGTGGGTTGCCATTTCCTTCTCCAGGGGATCTTGCCCATCCAGGGATTGAACCCAGGTCTCCTGCATTGCAGGCGGATGCTTTACCATCTGAGCTACTAGGGAAGGCCAAAATACAAGACTTGGCCTGTAACAAGTGCTTAGTAACGATTTGTCAAACGGCTTCATTTGTGATTTAATCTGATTTCCCTAAAGCAATTTCCGCCCACTCTTGCTCCAGGTCACTTTAAACTCTGGGAGTGAACGTCTCAACAGCACTATCTCTGCTGTGTGACCGGCACAGCCGCCCGGCCCTGAGCCCGGAGCCTGCGAACATGCCAGGTGAGAGCCCCACTCAGGCCTCCTTTGACTTGGAACCTTTAGGAGGGAGCCCGTGGGAATTTTTCTACAATTGTGCTTGGTTTCATAACAGCGATAATTGCTTCAAACGTTAGCATGCAAAAGCAGACTTCTTAAAATAAAAACAAACCCGCAGACAGCAAAGCCAGAGGCTCCCCATCAGGACACGGGACAGCGCCCGCTTCTTCCTTCTCTAAACGTGCTAGAGAACAGCCAGGGGCGGGGCTGCGGGAAGCCGGGCTCCGGGCCCCTCCCTGTGAGGGGTCTGGGCCCCCAGAGCCCGCCCCTCTGTCCCCTGGGGCTCGCCTGCCCCCAGCCCAGAAGGCTCCTTTCCCAGGAGGTCGGGTCCTCCCAGTGCCTGCGGGGCAGGGGGCGCTCTCACCTCTGTGCCCAGGTCTGGTCGCCAGATGGCTGGGGGCGGGGACGGGGCGCGGGCAGGTGAAGACGGCCCCAGCAGGTGGAGTGTGACTGAACTACGCCGAGTCCAGAGGGCACCCTTGAGGGCGGGCGGTTGGTGGGGGAGCCGGGAGCAGGAAGGGGCCCATGGGCCTCACCTGAGCCTCCACCTGGGCTTCGGGACCCCCCACGCCCTGCCCCCCAAGGGGTGGCAAGACAGGGTCGGCACTGGGACAGACCCAGGGCTGTGCTGTGGTCCAGGCGGTGGGCTGCCAGCTCGTGGAGGACTTGTCCAACCAGAGGGGACCATCGGTCCAGGCCGGGCCAGCTTGGGCCAAGACAGGTGTCACCTACCTCCCACCCGAGAAGTGCCCTCCTGCTGGCTGCTCCCCACGCACCCCCAGCCCCTGTGCTGGCCCGGCTCTCATGCGGGGAAGTGACACCTAGGTCTGGGGACTTTCCCGCACCCTCTGTCTGCACATGGAATGAAACCCACATCCCAGGGACTTAGGGCGAGGGGTGGGGCCCCAGAGATGGGACCACCTCACACCCATCCGGATGGCCACTGTCAAAACAGAAAGACCAAGCGCGGCTGAGGATGCAGAGATGGAAAATGGAGTGGCTGCCATGGAAACCGTCTGGAGGGTCCTCAGAAAGCTACCAGGGGGCTCATCACACGAACCGGCAGCCCCACTTCTGAGTATGCGCACAAAGGAAGTGAACACAGGTGTGGAGAAGTCATCTGCACACCTGCGGTCACAGCAGCCAGGGTAGGGGAGCCGCCCGTATCCCTGGCCGGAGGAGTGGAGGCGCGCCTGTGGTCCAGCCACACATCGGACTCTGAGATGCCCTGAGGAGGAAGGGCGCTCTGACCCGCGGCCCTGAGGATGTGGCGTGCAGTCACGGAAGGACACATTCTCTCTGCGATCTCACTTGCTGTTTGTCTCTGACTGCTGGGTCAGCCGCGCTGGGCTCCTCTAGTTGCTGAGCAGAGGCTCCAGAGTGGGGCTCAGTAGTCGTGGCCCCCTCAGCCGCACGTGCGATCTTCCCAGACCCGGGACTGAGCCCGTGTCCCCTGCACTGGCTGGCGGATTCTCAACCCCTGGACCACTGGGGACGTCCAAGGTCACATTCTTTACCATGCACTCCCAGGAGGGGCTGGGGGTTAAATGAGGACAGCTTCAGTTTTGCAAGATGAGAAAGTTCCGGCGATGGGCGTGGTGAAGGCCGTACAGCAGTGTGACTGCGCTTCATGTCGCAGAAATGGACACGTGGAGTGTGTGAGATCATCACTTTTATCCTATGTATATTTTACTAGAATTTTAAAAAGCGGAGGAAACAGGTGAGGGCACAGTCGGACTTTGGGGTCACACTGTGGGGCCGTCGCCTCCGCCGGCCCGGGACCAGCCGTCAGACATGTCTTGATGGGCCTTCGGCCGAGGACCCGTACTGCCCTCTACCCACCTTCACCGTGCGCCCCTGCTCCGCCGCTCAGTCGTGTCCGACTCTCTGCGACCCCATGAACTGCAGCCCACCAGGCTCCTCTGTCCATGGGGTTCTCTGGAATACTGGAGTGAGCTGCCATTTCCTCCTCCAGGGGATCTTCCCGACCCAGGGATTGAACCTGTGTCTCCTGCATTGCAGGCGGGTTCTTTACCACTGAGCCACAGGGGAAGCATAGCTCTCCTCCCGCCTTCACAGCCGGCCACGGATTTCTGCATAAGGTCGCCCTGTGGTGGGGGGAGCCTGAGACCCCACGGCTGTGCCAGCTTTGGGACGCACTGAAGTTTCCTTGGCCGTGGGAAAGGCCTGTGGAAAGGCCCAGGGGTCTTCACCCTCGACTCTAAGTAACCAGAGTCTTCACGCCTCAGGGGTCACCAGGCTACAGAAGCGAGAGCCACGTTCTGTAGCATCACTAGGGCTGCCCCTGCCCCGTGCGGCGCACTGTCCAGTCCCTGGGCTGGATGCTGGGGCCACCCTTGCCAGAGGCCACTGCGCCCAGAGAGGCCTGCCTACACCTGGGCACTGCTTGCGGCTCCCACTGACCTCAAGGGGCTGCTCTGTCCGCTGTCCGCTCTTGGAGAAGCAGGCCTCTGCACGGACAGTGCCTCCGGAGGCCGGGCTCAGGTTCTTCCCACTCCCAACAGGGAGCCCAAAGCCCGGGGGCGTCTGCTCCCTGCGCCCGCCCGCCAGCCTTGGCACGGTCCCAGCGCGAGCCTGGCAGAGCCCAGGGGATGCCTCCAAAGGACGGCATGAAAGTGCGGCTGAGCCGACGGGGTGGAGGAGAGCAGGGGCGGGTGTGGGTGCTGGGGGTCCTGGCGTCTCTGGGTCCCTGCATGCGCTCTGGGCCGGGGCGTCACGTGACGATGGGCAGTGGCTACTGCCCCGTGTGCCTGCATCAAGGGAGGACGTGGCCAGGCCCAAGCTGTCAGGGCAGGTTTTATATTCAGTGGCTGATTCTGCCCGTCTGTCTCCCGAGGGGATGTGGATGTGCCCGTGGAGGGTGGGTGTGGGTTTTGAGTCAGGACACCTGCCCGGGGACTCCGAAGGTCAGCGCTACCCCCGGGGAGGACGCCCCTCCCGACTCGGGAAATGCCCCCGGGTGATGCCCCACTAGATGTAAGCTCACAACTGCCACGAGAGAGGAAAGAAAGCCGGCCTGTGAGAGGGTCTGCGGGCCCTGCGTTGTGGGAGCGGGTCCTCCCTGCAAGACACCGCGTGCTCCGAGGGTCGCTCCAGGTGGTCTGATTCACGTGGTCCCCAGCCACGCCCGCCCTCACACTTGTCTCTGCCCCTCAGGAAACGCCACGCTGGAGACCGGCCCTGCGCTGGGGGCCCTGTCGACGGGCGTGTCTTCCCACACGTGCAACGTGCCCTTCAACGACAGCAGGGTGTTCCTGGTGACCGTGTACAGCGGCGTGTGTGCGCTGGGCCTGCCGGCCAACTGCCTGACAGCGTGGCTCACGCTGCTGCAGGCACGCCAGGGCCACGTGCTGGCCGTCTACCTCTTCTGCCTGGCGCTCTGCGAGCTGCTCTACATCGGCACCCTGCCGCTCTGGGTCGTCTACATCCAGCACGGGCACCGCTGGCCGCTCAGCCCCTGGGCCTGCAAGGTGACCGCCTACGTCTTCTTCTGCAACCTCTACGTCAGCATCCTCTTCCTATGCTGCATTTCCTGCGACCGCTTCCTGGCGGTGGTGTACGCGCTGGAGACGCGGGGCCGCCGCCACCAGAAGACCGCCATCCTCATCTCCGCGACAGTCTTCCTTCTCGTCGGGCTCGTCCACTCCCCGGTGTTCAAGATGGAGCACGATGAAACTTGCTTCGAGACGCTGCCGATGGACCACAAGGTGGCCGGGTACTACTACGCGCGCTTCATGGTGGGCTTTGCTGTCCCGCTGTCCATCATTGCCGTCACCAACCAGCGCATCTTCAGGACCATCCAGCGGAGCACCAGCCTGAGCGCTTCCCAGAAGGCCAAGGTGAGGCTCCTGGCCATCGCGGTCGTGGCCATCTTCCTGGTCTGCTTCGCCCCCTACCACCTGGTGCTCCTGATCAAAGCCATCGCCTTTTCCTACCACAGAGGGGCCGAAGAACCTGTGTGCAACTTTGAAATCCGCCTGTACACGGCCTCTGTGGTGTTCCTGAGCCTGGCCACCGTGAACAGTGTGGCTGACCCCATTATCTACGTGCTGGCCGCAGAAGTGACCCGCCAGGAAGTGTGCAGAATCCACAAGGGGTGGAAAAAGTGGTCCACGAAGATGGACGACACCAAGCTTGCGTGCTCGAAGGACTCGGAGGAGGCACGGTCGCCCATGTCCCCCACCAACAGCTACGCCTTCCCCGGGCCCGTCCACCCACCAGGGCCATCACTGGGCACCCCAGAGGGGCTGGCCGAGGGGTCCTGCTGAGCCCAGCGCAGGGGGCCAGGGCTGGCCGCCGGTGCTGCCTGTAGACCGCTAGCCAATGTCCATGGTGCTGCTGGGGAGTCCCCTCCAAATGGCTCACCCCCGATTTCTCGTCCCTGGAGTCTCTGCCGCCGGGGGTCCCGGCTGAGCAGAAGCCCCACGGAAGGCGGCAGCTCATTCAGGGTAAGGGCGAGTCTGCTGGCCGCAGGGAAGAGCACGTGGCGGGCCGGAGCGCTTGCTCTGGCTGGCGCTCTCTGCTATTAGCGCACAGCAGGGCAGCTGGCGCAGGCCGTGCGCCCGCCTGGTGCTGCTGGCAGCTGCACGGGCCGTGTGCGGAAGCTGCCTGTCGGCCGCCGCGTGACAACTTTATTTCCTGAGCTTTTCTGCAAGTGTCGCTTGGATGCGAGTACGTGGCTGGGCATTTCTGCTTCTGCCCCGGGTCGTCCATGCAAACTGTGCCCCTGGTCACAGGCTCTTGGCTGGGGCAGCTCAGCACCGTGGCCCTGAGGGGAGCCTCAAGGTGGGGTGCAGTCCACGTGGCCTCCGGAGGAAGCCCCGTGTGTGCGTGGCAGGCACACCTGTGGGCTGGGAGGGCCGGGGGGCACCCCAGGCAGGGGGACACGCCCAAGGGCTCCGAGGATCCGGCACATTGTCAGCACGGAGGCTTCCTGGCTCCCGTCGGGGCGGAGCTGCCGAGGGCCAGGCCAGGCACAGCGCTACCTCCGAGTCCCATCTGTAGCAGGGCCCGTGACCCTGGCCTCAGCGGGTCAGCAGCGGGGCTGACTGCACGTAGCCCCAAGGCGGCGTCAGGGTCAACTTCCACTCCCGCTTCTCTAAGGCTGCGTCGATGGATGAGCTTTACTGTGAAAGACCCTGAGAAGACATGTGATTTCACGTCTGGGAATAAAAACGCAAGAGTACACATCAGTGCCAACTTCCTCACGTGCAGAAATGTAATTTTACTTCTCAGGCTCGGGGGGGCCGGGCTGGGGGAGGGGAGTGAGCCCGGCTCTCCAGGTGATGGGCGGGTTCTAGAGTAGTGTTCTAGAGTGTTCACAGGGTGTTCCCTCGAGGATGACATGGGAGTTCCTGGGGCTGCTGCAACTAGTCACCACAGGATCTCAGCCTTTGGGCTGGAGGTCTGGATTGAGGCGTTGGGGGGCCCTGGGGGCCTGGGCTCCAGGCCTCACCCTCAGCCTCTGGAGCTCATGCATCCTTGGCTTCTGGGTGTAGCTGAATCACCCCAGACTGTCCCCCTGTCTCTCTTCTGTGTCTTTGCACCTGGGACTCCCCTGGATAACCCAGGGTGAGCTCATTGCTACACCCTTAGACAGAGCCTATTTCCCAGTAAGGTCCTGCCCGCAGATTCCAGGGCGCAGGACAAGACATATCCTTCTGGGGTCAACAAGCCCGCCCCCACAGATGGCAACAGGGAGCAAGAGGCGTGCTGCGCAGCTCCGGGGGAGGCTCAGTTCAGTTCAGCCGCTCAGTTGCGTCTGACTCTTTGCGACCCCACGGGCTTTGGCACGCCAGGCCTCCCTGTGCCGAGGGACGAGTGGCCCCCAGACTCGGCGCTCGCCCCGCACCTGCTCCGCACCTGCCACCGTCTGCGTGGTGGCGCCCGTCATCGTGAGAGCACCCACGGCTGTGCGCTGGCTGCCCAGTCGCTGCAAACATCTGCTTTTTTTGATGGTAGCTTATCTTTTTCTTTAACACCTTTTCTCGGCAGCCTCGTGCCACTTCCTTGGCAGTTTTGGGGAAAGTTCCTGGTGTCTGAAACCCCAGGTCCTCCCAGGACTGTCTGCACCCTAGCCTCTTGGTGTCACTTCCCCTGGGGTTTCACCACGGGGCTTCCCTGGTGGCTCAGATAGTATAAAGAATCTGCCTACGATACAGGAGACCTGGGGTCCAATCCCTGGGTTGGGAAGATACCTGGGGCAGGAAATGGCAGCTCACTCCAGTGTTCCTGCCTGGAAAATTCCAAGGACAGAGGAGCCTGGAGTGCTACAGTCCACAGGGTGACAGAGTCAGACAGGACTGAGCGACTAACACTTTCATTTTTCGACATTTTATGCCTCAATTTCAGTCACAGACATAAAGCTCGTGCTCCCACTGAGGGGGCGCCCCTCTGAACAGCAGGACCTTGTGAGCAGCGTCTCCAGCTCCCCGCTGTAGATGTCCTGGGACGGCCGAAACAAATAACCACAAACTGGGATGACATGTCTTAAAACAACAGGAACTGACCCTCTCACAGCTCCTAGGCCCCAAGTCCAAAATCAAGGTGTCAGAAGCCTCCAAGAGAGGGTCCTTCCTGCTCCACCAGCATCCGGTGGCTCCAGGGGTCCCTGGGCTTGTGGTTACATCACCTCAATCTCTGCGGCTTCTGTTTTTGTGGACCCTCTTTTGTGTCCCCCTGGGGCGCCCCTTCTGTCTCAAGGCCACGTGCCGGGCCCCAGAGTCCGTCTAGAGCCCTGGTGCTGCCCTCCTGGGTCCGCAGTCTCCCTGGCCCAGTTTGGCCCCGTACCAGGGCACGGCTTTCTGTCCTTTCTTCCTGCGGAGCCAGAGCCCACCTCGCTGGCACCAGGGTGACCAGGCTGCCCAGGAGCGGAGGCATCAGATGGAGGTGGGGTGTATACTGTGCCCCTCCGGGTCAGCAGGCTCCATCCTTGGCCCGAGGGGGCTTCACCGGCCCTCAGCCTGGAGTGCAGGGATGGGTGTACAAGCCTCAGGGGTGGGCCTGGCCTGTCCTCTCCATCCCTCCTCCGCCCCTCTGTCCTCTCACAAGACTGGCTCAGAGCACCGCCTGGTTTGCGCGTGTGTGTCGGCGCGCGTGCAGGTCACGTGACCTTGGACTCACACCCCCCCCCCCAGCTCCTAGCCAAGGGGCTTTCCAGTGAATTCACGACCACATCACACCCAGGCTGGGAATCTCCTGCTCCTCCGTCTTCTGCTGACGTCACACCACCAATAAACAGCCCTTCTTCTCCAGTAGGATCCATCTGCACCGACCGGTCCTCCAGCTCACCAGAGGCGGGGGGTGTGGGGACGGAGCCCCTGGCTCAGTGAGGGGCCGCCAGGAGTTTGCCAGGAGGGGTGACCTGGGGGGCCTCCACCCGGGAGTCTCAGAGGTGCCTTCAGGGATGGGGCAGGGCTGCGTAAGGGGAGAAGGCGGCTGCGTGGAGGGCCATCGCCACCGGGGAGGGCAGGCTCCCCGAGGAGGGCCGCGGGTCCCAGTCCAGGTTCTCAGCCCTCAGTGGAGGGGCCAAGTGGGGAGCTGATGTGGAAGACATCTGGGGATAAAAGCCTGTGGAGAATCGAGGCAGGGGGGGGAGGGGGTGGGGGGAGGACTCAGGGCCAGATCCCATACCGGGCTCCTGCCCCGGGAAAGCAAGGCTGACGGGACGGGCGGGGTGGGCCTCAGGGCCGAGAGGCTCAGGAAGGGCCTCTGCACCCCTGCGACCCTCCGCAGCCCCCTCGTGGGCTGCCGCAGTCGTGGGCAGGGGGCCCGGTGTGTCGAGGGGGCAGCCGCGGGGCCGCGGCCGGCAGCCTCGCAGCTGGATGTCTTAGCGAGGCCTCATCCCGTCCACGCGCGCCGCCCCCCTCGGGGTCTTCCCCTGGGATTTGGGACTGGCCGCAAGACCTGCCCGCAGCGCTACTGGGGTTGTTCATCGACACTGGGAGTGTCCCCAGCGGAAGCTGCGCCTGACACAGAGACGGCGCTCAAAACGCAGAGCGTCGGTCCCGCTTCCTGCGGGCCTTTCCCCGGGCCCTGCGAGGACCCACCCTCCTCGACGGAGGCGCGTCTGTCCTGGCGGCGACCCCTAGAGGGCGCGCGCGGCTGAGCGCCCAGCGCGTCCGGCCCGCGGCCGCCAGGGGGCAGCACCACCCGAAAAGGCGCTGCGGGCGCGGCGGCCCCTCTCCCACCGGACGCTGACCGCGAGAGGTCTTGAGAGGGGAAACCGCGTCGCCGCGCTGGCAGGGCGTGCGGAGCCGGGTCTGAGAAGACAAGAAGCCGAGAGCGGCCCTGCGCCCGGTGACAAGCGCAGGTTGACGGGGACATCAGGCCGGCTCCCGTCCTCGTGCGAATCCGGAGAAACCGCAGGCGCAGGGGGCGGCGGGCCGGGCTGCGGGAGCCGGGGAGAGCCCGCCCGAGCGGCGGGGAGGGCGCAGGGCCGGCGGAGGCCCTGTCCCCGGCCTGCCGGCGCCTCGGATTTGCACGGGACCCCGCAGCGCCACTCCGAGGGCCTGGCCAAGAGCACGGAGAGCTTCCGTGTGGACGGATGTTGGGGCAGCATCATTCCATAAGCAAAACGTGGTCTATGATGAGAGCGACTGCCACTCACTTCTGACACCTGCTACCGTGGGGATGAGCCTCACAACGTGCAAGTGAGAGGACTGCCGTTTGGTCCAGTGGCGAAGACTCCGAGCTCCCAATGCAGGGGGCCCAGGTTGGATCCTGGGTAGGGGAACTAGATGATGCTGTGATAGTGCTGCCCTCAATATACCAGCAAATTTGGAAAACTCAGCAGTGGTCACAGGACTGGAAAAGACTTTTCATTCCAATCCCAAAGAAAGGCAATGCCAACGAGTCTTCAAACTATGGCACAATTGCACTCATTTCACATGCTAGCAAGGTTATGCTTAAAATCCTTCAACCTATGCTTCAACAGTGCGTAAACCTAAAACCTCTGGATGTACAAGCGGGAGTTAGAAAAGATAGAGGAACCAGAGATCAAATTGGCAACATCCTTTGGATCATAGAAAAAGCAAGGGAATTCCAGAAAAACATCTACTTCTGCTTAACTGACTAAACTATTGCCTTTGACTGTGTGGATCACAACAAACTGTGGAAAATTCTTCAACAGATGGAAGTACCAGATCACCTTACCTGCCTCCTGAGAAATCTGTGTGTAGGTCAAGAAGCAACAGTTAGAACCGGATATAGAACAACAGGCTGGTTCCAAATTAGGAAAGGAGTGTGACAATGCTGTGATTGTCACCCTGCTTATTTAACTTATATGCAGAGGACATCAGGAGAAATGCCAGGCTGGATGAAGTTCAAGCTGGAATCAAAGTGCCGGGAGAAATATCAATAGCCTCAGATATGCAGGTGACACCACCCTTATGGCAGAAAGTGAAGAGGAACTAAAGAGCCTCTTGATGAAACTGAGAAAGGAGAGTGAAAAA